ATCTGCCCCCCCGCCAAGGCCTGATGCTTCTGGCTCAGGCTTAAGGCCTGGGCAGGGGAGCCCCAACTCCCCCCGATCACCTGCTTCTAGGCAGCTTCTGGGGCTTCTGGGGCCGGCCTGTGGCCGAGATCGGATCTGATTACTGGCGGCAGGCTGGCCCTGCCTGCAGTATGCAAATTAGCCGCCATCTTTGTTGGCAGTTAATTTGCATATCACACTGATTAGCCCATGGGAGGTGTAGCGAAGGTACAGTCAATTATCATGTTTGTCTATTATTAGATAGGATATGATCAGTGAATTACTATTAAAACCATTTAGTTACACTTGTCCTTTTCAATGTGGTAAGAGCAGGCCTCCCCAGACACATCCTGTTTTATTTTTAAAAATATTTTTTATTGATTTCAGAGTGAGGGAGAGAGAGAGACAGAGACAGAGAGAGAGACATCAATGATGATAGAGAACCATTGATTAGCTGCCTCCTGCATGCCCCACACTGGGGATTGAGCCTGAAACTTGGGCATGTGCCCTGACCTGGGCATGTGCCCTAATCTGGAATCAAACCATGACCTCCTGGTTCATGGGTCAACACTCAACCACTGAGCCACACCAGCCAGGTAACACATTATCTTTTAAAGTTGTATGGTGATTATACTATAGTCACTAAGAATGAGGAAATTAATATTTTAGGTTTACTCCCTTTTGAGGGATTGAGTTTGATCTTTCTATATATGGTAAGATCCTAAAAGGACCATGGTTTCTTCTGACTCTAATGGGAAAATATTTAATAATTACAATATTTAATTTGCCTAACAGATTATTTTAAAGTGCAATCCAGAATAGTTCTATTTTAACCATGCTACAGGCACTTTGAAAATTCAGGAAAAACCTGTAATGTCATTAGAGTTCAGTGGGGCCCATCTCATCTTCATGATAGATGCTTCCAAAGGAGAATTTATTGAATTCCAGTGTATTATTTGCAGGATGCTATGGTGGGATACAAAGAAGGCATATATTCTCAAGGTGCCCACAGTTTAGTGGTAAAGATAGAGATAGACAAGTAATTACTGTTTTGAGGAAGACCTTGAATGCCATGCTGAGACTTTTGAATTTGATTCTGTGGGCAATAGAAGGTACATACAAAGTGAGATGAGTGTTAGACCAGAGGAAAATGCAAGGTGCTATGGGAGTACAGAGGCTAGAGTGGTTAACTCTGGCTGGTGGTGAGTCAGGAAAGCTTAATGGAATAGATTACATTTGAGCTGGACCTTCAAGGGTGGGTCAGATTTGTACACAAGGGGAGTGAGTACAAAAGTACAGGTTATCTCTGGATAAAGAAACCCAGTCAAGACCAGCCAAGAAAATGAGGCATGTAGCATGTTTAGTAAAAGATAAATATGGAAGAGTGGTTGGGACAAATTGTGGAGAGCCTTGAATGCTGAGCCAGGACATAGCCTAAGCAGAAGAAAGATGTGAAGAGGTGGTCAAGTCTTCCTTTATGCTTCCTTCTGAAATTTCTGAGTCTGCCCCCTCGTTTTCATTCCCTACTGCCTTTGCCCTGATTTCAACTTGCATTACCTCACACCTGGACTATTCAGTCTTCTTAATTAATCCCTCTTCTTCCTCCCCTCCCTCAATGTTATGCATCGGCTAATCTTCTTGAAGCACATCCCTTCCTCAGAAACCTCCAGTGGTTCTGTTTTGCCAATAAGATAACATCTAAACCCCTGGTAGGGTAGTTCTAGCCTCCCTCCCTGACACTGTGCAATGTAACCTGCAATCCAACTTTGTTTCCTTCGTTCCCTCTTCATGAATCTCATGCTTTCCTCATCTTGTTTTCTGTACACAATCCAATGAGGTAGGAGATAGGTAGTAACCAGCACACAGGCTCTGCAGCCAGACCTCCTGGATTCAAATCCCAGCTCACTGACTACTAATCATATAGCCTCTGGGAAAGTTACTTAACATCGCTTCACTTTGATTACCCCATCTCAAAATGGGATGGTGTAATTATTCAATGAAGCTTCATATGTAAAGTTTTAAGAACAGTGCTCAGCACTTAGTAAATTCTCAGGTACTAGTTAGTATATTTGTGATTACGCTTATTTTTTTAAAATATATTTTTATTGATTTCAAAGAGAAAGGGAGAGGGAGAGATAGAAACATCAATGATGAGAGAGAATCACTGATCGGCTGCCTCCTGCATGCCCCTCACTGGAGACTGAGCCCACAACCGGGGCATGTGCCCTTGGCCAGAATCGAACCCAGGACCCTTCAGTTCCCAGACTGACACTCTATCCACTGAGCCAAACCAGCTAGGGCATGATTACACTTATTTTCTACCTTTACTCATGTTGTTGCCTTCTTGAATACCCTTTTCTGTTTGTTTTCTAATTGAATCCTACCCAATTCAAATGGCCCATCCTTAAGCTTGCATTACTTTTGCTCCTCCCTTAGTTGGAAGTAATTTTTCTCCTTTTCATTTTCATAACTTAATCACTTTCTTTTTGTAATATGGTTATTTATGTACAGTACATATATATAAATTTAGGTCTGTTAATTGTTTCATATCTGAACTTGGTTTCTTGAACATAAAACCTTTTTTCTCTATGGGATATATGCTGAATAATTGAGGATTATATCTAATTATATTTTAGAAAGGTTTACAAAAAATATTTCCTTTTCTAACATTCAAATCATTCCTCTGTTTTAGTACCTATATGACCAGTGAATATAATATTAAATTCCAAGACCCACTGGAACATTCTAAGACCCCCTAGGGGATGTTTAAAACCACATATAGTATCAAACTCTATATATACTGTGTTTTCTCCTATACATACATACTGATGATTAATTTAATTTATAAATTGGCCATAGTAAGAGATTAACAGTAAACAATAAAATAGAACAGTTAGAACAATATACTGTAATACAAGTTACGTGAATGTGATTTCTCTCTCTACAAATATCTGGAACTTTACATTTAAGATTTGTGTACTGGGGTTGATCATGAACAACTAAAATCGTGGAAAGTGAAACTGCAGAAAGCAAAACTGGATAACGGGGGACTACTGTATTCATCTTATCTTCCCTGGCAGATTGCAAACGGGGCGGGGGGGTGGGGCTTCAAATTTGGTTCATTTTGCTAGCTCCCTGGAGCACTTCAATATGTTACCTTGTACATACTAAGCACTGACATAATTGGAATGACGGGCTAATCAGATGAGTGCTTCAGAAAAATAATAGCAGAGAAGGAAAGCTTGAGTTTGAGAGGCTGAAAGGCAGGGAGCTCAGTTAGAGGCTATGATCCAAGCTAGAGGTGGGGAGGGCTTAGCAAGTGACAGGAGGAATAAAATGGAGGAAATGAATTGAGTGTCTGAGAACCATATCTCTGGTCCAAAAATTGGAAACAAAATGCAGAGGGAAAGGGTTTCTGTCCCATTGTGTATTTTCTACTTAGTTACAATTTATTCTAATATTAAATTCCAACACCCACTGAAACATTCCAAGACCCCCAGGGGATTGCATCTCTGCTGAGCACAGCAATTAGACCTGTAGAATAATACTTTATGTTGAATAGAGTTTTGATTCATAGTTTTATCTTTTGGGTAATGGTATTTGATTGCTTTTATTCTGTAGAAAGTAACTACCTGTAAAATTATTTGCAGTATAATATCAGTTCCAGCCTGTATATCTAGTCAGCTGTAATAGAGATGAGCTCTGTAGATTCTCTAATATGAAACAGTCCTTATGATGTGTTGATTAACTGCAAACTCATTTTTTTAATAGAAAAATGAAAACCGATTCTATCTGAAGGAAGTGAATGTCAGCATGTATTTGGTTAATGGCTCTGGTAAGCAAAATATTGGCCTCAGGGTAAAGAGTGTGTGTTACACTGAAGGAATAGAAACCATAATTGTCTTGTTACCAAATAGTGCCTTACCTAATGGGACAGATTTTGTGTGAAAAATCATACTTTGACTACAACTTAAAATCAGTAACTTAGAACTATAGTAGTCTATCTTTTGCAGTATACCATATTTTCAAATCATGGTGGGTAATAGTTAAGGATGTGACTGATTTTTAGACTATAGAAACATCTATAGAAAAAGCAGGGAACAGTGACAGATAATGAATAGAATTAGTGAGTTGATTACTACTATATTGTAAGGTACAAAATGTTGAATCATTATATTATACACATGAAACTAATATCACTAACATAATATTGTACACCAACTCTACTTAAATTTAGAAAAAAAGGAAAGATAGGGAATCTAGTGACGGGAAGAATTGCTTTTTGTAGGTAGACTTTGTACCCCAAGCTCTTATACTTCACTGAAAAATTCTGAGTTCAGTCTCACTTTTTATGTTAATAGGATAAGATGTTACTAACGTATTTTTTTCTTTGAAGTTTTCAGCATTGCAAATAACAATCTCAGCTACTGGGATGCCCCCCTGGGAAGTTCTTATATGTGCAACAAAGAGCAGACGGTTTCAGTGTCTGGAGCATTTCAGATAAATACCTTTTATCTAAGGGTTCAGCCTTTCAATGTGATAGAAGGAAAGTATTCTACAGGTAAGAGTCAAACCAGATTTATTAATAATTGATGGTCTTATGTTGACTTTTCCTTTGAGTCATGAATACTTAAGCATTGAACTAGAGAAATATAAACTCGCCTCTCGACTCCATGGTAGAGTTCTCAAAGCCTTGAGCAAGTTGTGTCACTCTATATTTGGCTCATCATTTTGCTCAACGTAGATTTTTGTGTGATCTGAAAACCATTTGCAGCAAACTTCTTAAAGCTAAAAACTGATCAAAGCTTTACATGAGCTAAATTTACTTAAGGTAGGGACGTTGCCCCCAGGTTTTAGTTTGTGAGAAGCAAACTTGGGAGCAGCAGCTTTGAGCATCTGGCATCTGCCTTGGGGCCATCTTCCATCTGGAAACATTTTCATACTGGAATAAAAGCAGTTTGGTCATATTTTGTTGAGACAAAAGATTATGGTAGCAAAGCCTCAAGTATCAGGAAGTATGCTTTGGCCAGCCAGAATGATCTGGAGAATTTAGAAATCATGTGCCAGTGTGACTGAGCCCTTTTGAAGATCTACTCAGTCCTTATGATAGTGTTTATCAGGTTTTTAATGAAACCTTTGCAAGCGGCTCACTACAGTGTTTATATGAGTATGAAAGATGCATTTGGCATTACAAGATTAAAATTTGCATGAAGGAAAAAGTACATAAAATTCCTTAATTGACTTTCTCTTTTAAACCATTTTCTTAAAATTGTTGGTTTGTGGATTGCAGCTCTGCTGAGCACAGCTATCCAGTCATTCACAGCATTTTTAACTATTAATTCCATGGTTTAGAACAGGGGTGGGGAACGTCCAGCCCGTGGGCCGTATAAGGCCCACGAAATCATTTGGTCTGGCCCTGCTGAGACATTAGGGTGAATTAAATAAATATTTGACCAAATATAGTAGGCTAATTTTTAAGTTGATAATTTTGTATGGCCCACAAATGTTATAAATATCCATCTGGCCCTCGGCAGAAAAAAGGTTCCCCACCCCTGGTTTAGAAAAAAATGTAGAAGCTGTGTTTAAAAATCAGTGTGCTCTGAGCCATTCAGCTACTTTTGCAGTAGTGCTGAACACCTAGCCTGACTTGGTTAGGTCACAATAAATTGGGTTCTTTGCCCTACTACCATTCTTGAAACAAGAGAGGTTAATCACACTTTAAACTTTTAAAAACATTTATCTTCCCTTTTGTTTGTTTTTCTTTTTTACTCCAATTATTTTGATCCTTTAATGATTTTCTTCTTGAGTCTTCATTATTACCTTAATTTTAGGTCCAGATTTGGGTTTAGAATTTAAAGTTATTTGCAGTGTAATATCAGCTCAAGCCTGTATATCTAGTCAGTTGTAATAGAGATGAGCTCTGTAAATTCTCTAATTTGAAACTTTGCTGTTTATGTGCATATAATTAAATGTCACCCAAAGGAGTATACAACATTTAATATAAGGGTAGGCAAAAGTAGGTCTATAGTTGTGAGTACACGAAACAGTTTATTCTTGTATTATTATTTTGTATTTTTCCATATGAACAACTGTAATCTGCTTTTGCCAATCCCTGTCTTGATGATGAATGTATCACCAATTTGTTGGGCTATGCTTTTGACTGTGGGTGCCTATAAATACAACACAGTGGTAATACGTGACTATATAAGAGAAAGAAATAGACTTGTAGTAAGGTAAAAGAATATTGATTGGATTTTATTGGATCAGACTACTCCCTAGGAAAAGAAAAAAATATTCTATGGACTGCCAATCCTGATCAGATTGATAAATGTATGATTAATGTAATAAACACACTCAAAGTAGTAAGAGGTCCCCGTTTCTTGACTTTTGCAGCCACTAAAATCATGTACTCTAAGTCAAGGATCCGTATACTTTTCTATAAAGGCCCAGACAATAAATGTTTAAGGTTTGAAGGCCATATCGTCTCTCTCACAACTAGTCAGCTCTGCTATTGTAGCACAAGGACAGCCATAGGCAATAACCAAATGAATGTGGCTGTGTTCCAATAAAACTTTATTTGTGGACACTGAAATTTGAATTTCATATAATTCTCATGTCTCAAAATATTCTTTTTTGTTTCTTTTAAACCATTGTAAAATGTTTAAAAGCCATTTTTAGCTCTTGGGCCAAATTTGGCCCATGGACTAGTTTGCCGTTCTCTGTCTAAAGGATTCCAGAGCTAGTTTGGCCATCCCAATCCCATGATTAAACCATCCTGATCTGGTCCCAGTCTCCCAAAAGACATTCACTCTACCACTGAGAGGCTCGTCTTGCCATGTGAAATGGGCTAGATTAGCTCACTTCATTTTAAATAAAGTAATACTCCTGTTTTGGAAAGGACTTTGAATATAAATTAAAAAAACATGTACACATGTATGCATTTACTCATAGATACAAATATATATGTATTCATATATATGAATATATGTACAATCATATACGAATGAAAGAACAAATGAGTTTTAGGATTTTAATTCTAGAGCAATCTATAATATTCTATAGCTTAATCTTTAAAATATACTGTCTTAATTAAAGTTGAAATTGTAAGAGCACTTCTGACTTTTGAGTCAACATCTTTTACTTTTGGACATTCTTTTTTTTTATTATACTCATTATTTGTTACACACTTTTTCTCACCTACAGCCCAGGAGTGTTCGCTGGATGATGACACCATTCTAATACCAATTATAGTTGGTGCTGGTCTTTCAGGCTTGATTATCGTTATAGTGATTGCTTACCTAATTGGCAGAAGAAAAAGTTATGCTGGATATCAGACTCTGTAACACTAATGCATATGTGATCTCTGTTCCAAAGTAATAAAGCAAGTACAAGTTCCAACATGCAATACTATTCAATTTAAGATATATTTACTTTTAGTTCTGATCTTAGAACCAGTGGTATGGGGGATTTTGTACTTAAATAAATACAAACACCCCAAAACTATTAACTACAAATTGGTCATGTGAATTTGGTTTTCCTAACCAAGGCATTTAAATCTGTTGTTTCTTCAGCCAAAGGCATGTGCAAAATCACCTGGATTATAGGTTCTATTTTATTTGCTTGAATTAGTGTTTCAGTGTTTCTACTGTAGTCATTCTGACTAGAAATATACAGTTTAGGAAAAACAGGTTTTTAAAAGAGATTTGTTTTCTTGCATGTGGTTGAATTGAGACAGTACATTCTACAGTGGATTTGTACTTGCTCCCTTTGCATTTTTTTCTGTGATTTTGCAGGTTAACTTAGCTGCTTTGACATTGCTATATATTTGACCTAATAGAGATATGGCAATAGATGTGAACAGTCTAATATTATGTTCTTAGCAATGACTGCTTTCCTAATGCTTTTTGAATACATTTGTATTTAATGTGGCTGTAATGACAAAAGATGCAAAGCTTTTGAAATTTTAGAATAGGTGTTAAGCTTATTGTTTAATCCCTTCTAAAAAAAAAACCTGGATATTTCAATCTTTTAAATTGCAAGATACAAGACTATTCCAGCTGAGCATTTCAATTTTCTAGGTGCTTTAGAGATAATTGCTAGGCAGTGCCAATTTCAGGCCTTAGTCATTTTACCTGTAAATTGGTCTCTACCTGCAGAGCTAAAGTTAATGTACACTTCCAGTGTCCTTGGTGGTAGTAGTATCTTTTATTCCTTTTTTATCTTTTCTTTTCCTTAAAGAAGAAATGCCAGTATTTCCTAGGTCAGCCGTGGGCAAACTACAGCCCACGGACCGGATCCGGCCCATTTGAAATGAATAAAACTAAAAAAAAAAAAAGACCGTACCCTTTTATGTAATGATGTTTACTTTGAATTTATATTAGTTCACACAAACACTCCATCCATGCTTTTGTTCCGGCCCTCCGGTCCAGTTTAATAACCCATTGTGGCCCTCGAGTCAAAAAGTTTGCCCACCCCTGTCCTAGAACCTAGAAAAGAAGGGCACTTATACCTATAAAGTAACTTGCACATAACCCAAAAGTTTCGGTCTTCTCCATTAAAATGTTTGGGGTTTTTTGTTTTGTTTTTAAGAGTTGTTCTTTGTTTCCAGCTTAAAGTGATTGCTACAACATTTACCAATTTGGCTTTCCTATTTAAATGGTTATATGCTAATCAAAACTTACATTATTGTTGTTCATTATGGTAGAATCATTATTAATTCATGTATTTTGTGTTCGGTTTTTGTCCTCTGGGGAGATGCACCAGTTGTCCATCTACCGTGAACCATCTAATGTTGATATGAGAAAGCAAAACATTTCAGCTTCATAGTTAACATATCAAGTATTTCTTACTGTTTCTAGGTGTTTTTTATTGGAACGGCTGAGCAAATATTTAGAAATTGTTAATATGCAGCCATATACCAAAGGTGCCTGAGTTTTGTTTTTTTTTTGGGGGGGGGGTGTTAGGAGATTGTATACCCCCATTCACTACAAAATGAGATATCTGGGTTCCAAAGTATTATTGATGTTGAATTAATTTGGTAGTCTAACTAAAAACACACACACAAGCAATTGCCTGTAAGCATATATATATATGTCTATAACTATCTTTCGAGTTATATTGGAGTGCTGAATATTTTTTCCCACTTAAATTTGTTCTCTGTTTAGAGTAGCCTGAAATTCTTACTGGCTCAGAATCAGATTCCTGATCAACCCCTCTCTTAAAGCTACAATGAGCTGCATTGCCAGCTTAAGGCACTTATAAAAGACAAAAGACAAAAATATAAATCTGATTTTTAAAGATTATTTTTTATTTAAATAGTATGTTAGTGTAAGATTATTGAACTTAAAACAATGGATAATGCTTATAAGAACGTAGGTCTTAGATATTTCTCACAAGTCAAAACAAAGCAGCTTTAAAAAAAGAGAGAGATTAAAGCATAAGTGGTGGCACTGGCTTAATGCTGTTAATGTTTCTAAAAGTTTCTACATTAAATTATATATCTGATTCATATGAAAATATCTCTAACACTGTTTTCTAGAAAATCTGACTTCATTGAATATTTTTGTATCTTACGTGGGCCAGTTTATATACAGTTGGTTATTTCCTACAGCCACATGCTCTTTGTACCTTTTGTAGTTTCATTTGCTTTACTGGGTTTACACCTTGATGGTCTAACACTCTATGGTTCTGAGTGTTTTTCATGTGTTAGCATTTATATAAAGAAACTGGTCCATGTAAATACTTCTCATGTTTTTCTTTCAAATGTTTAAGCCACTAGTTGATGTATGGTATTTCTCTAGATATTTGCTTGTCCATTTGCTCCACATATTGCTTCTAAAACAAACAATAAAGGTTATTTTATTTCTTAAGGAAATTTGCTCACATTATTTCCCGTTAGTTGAAGTCAAGATTTTGTATATCACATAATGTCAATTTCTTCCAAAAGGAAAAACTTTACAAATGCTTAGAAATTGAACTAAATTATTTCCAAAATGTCCTGTTGTGTTGTTATTATCTGGAACAATGGTCCCAATCATGGGTCTCTACTGATGCTGGGCTGGCTACAGTATAAGAATCACCTGGGAAACTTGTTATAAAAATTCAAGTTCCAGGCACCATTCCTAGAGTATTTAATATTTAATTTAGCAGGTCTGAGATAAGATGTGCATGTGTGCGCTCACACGTGTGTGTGTGTGTGTGTGTGTGTGTGTGTGTGTGTGTGTGTGTGTAAGTTCCTCAGCCAGATCTGGTGTGTAGCCAATTGTGGAACCAGCAATCAAGAATATTCATTTAAGCCCTAGCTGGTTTGGCACAGTGGATAGAGCGTTGGCCCGCAGACTGAAGGGTTCCAGGCTTGATTCTGGCCAAGGGCACTACCTTGGTTGCAGGCTTGATTCCCCAGTCCTGGTCAGGGTGTGTGCGGGAAGCAACCAATTGATGTGCCTCTTTCACATCGATTATTCTCTCTGTCTCTCCCCCTCCCTTCTGCTCTCTCTAAAAATCAATGGGAAAATATCCTCAAGTGAGGATTAACAACAACAAAAAAAGAATATTTAATTAATATTAAAAAGCATCAGAGTATCTTGTGCATTTTTCTCAACTCCTAAAATGAGGCTGATATTTCATATCTATACACAGCAGCTGTGCATTGCAGCCATATAATCCAAATTATTGATCTGAACCAAAATAGGATTGTGTGCAATATCTCACTCTAAAATGTTTGAACCTTAGTATATCACACACACACACACACACACACACACACACACAATTAGCAATCTGGCTCATAACTTTCCTCTGTATTACCCAGTTAAGCCATGTGACTGCCAGTTAATCATCATAGCTCCCACCTTTGCTACTAGCTGCCATGTCACTTTGGCCAAGCTGCTTAACTTCTGGGGTCTCATAAAGTTGAAGGCTTTATTTCTCTATTTCTTTTGAATGGTAGTTTTCCATTTTAGTGAAGATTTGAGTATATTTACCAGTAGAAGGAATCTGATAAGAAGCTCCTTGTTATGTATCAAGAACATAACTTTATATACAGTGTAAAATGCACCATCTTGTTTCTTTTCTTTTTTAGGAGGAATTCTTATAAGACACATACTTTCTTTAAGATTATAGCATTTTATCTCTATTTAGGTAGATAATGTCAAATTGGCTTGGGCTCATCTCTCTCCCACCCATTTCCTTATCTATTACTGTGGTAGCTAACTTTCTGCATCAAAATTGCCATATTTTGTTTTTGAAAGTAGTATAGACATATTTGGGTGATACTCAATAGCTTCAAGTATCTTTTCAGATTCATGTTGTATAGTTCAGTTTTGTTATAGAACTAAAAGATATATAATTTAAAAAAGATGTCACATAAGAATGTAATTCCTAACACTGACTTTTACAGAGAAATTTGACACAATTGATTTTAAGAGTTTTTGATTTACATTTTTTAAATAAATGTGTATCTCAAAAAATGTGTAGCTCAGCTTTCCAATTCACACTGAATATTATTTTTGAAAGATTTCTGAACAGAAATTTGAAGATAACAGGCTTTTTTAAAAAAAATTTTTATTGATTAAGGTATTACAAATGTGTCCTTATATCCCCATTACCCCCCCCCCCAAAATCAGGTATTTTTTAATCTACAAGAAACTTAGTTGAAATTTCAATGCCTATGAATAGTTTATCTTTAAAAATCTTAATTGCTTCTCTATTAAACTCTTCCAAAAATACACTTTTCCTTTTCCCCAAAATATTTTCAGTACCGTCTCAAATGTACATTAGGCAAATAGATCAGTTCAAAATGACTTATAGAGTGCTCGCTTTGGCAGCACATATACTAAAATTGGAACAAAATGACTTATAGAATGAGATTTTTTTTCTTCAGGATGTGATCCTATTAAAATTCCTGTTTTACCAAAATATCTTCCCATTACTTAATTCTTAAAGGTTGAATGCACAAAATCATTATTTATTATAAATTAATACTTCACATGCTAATTGAGAACATTTTAAATAAGTGACAGCATTTAGAAAGATCTTTGTAAGGGTGGAATTGCCTTTTTGATCTACTTTGGGAATATTTGTCTTACATGAAAGCTTTATTAGCACTATTTATGAAAACTGTTTCAGTACTAGGTCAAATAGCCAATTTGGGAAAGATGACTATGAATCCATTGCCAGAATTAAAAATTAATCTACTAATGAATTTTTTAAAAACCCAAGTTATATTAAATCCAAGGCATAATACTATAAGGTGTATGCTACCTAATAGTTTATGTGCTGGGTGATAATTTGGGAAATGGAAGGGGATGAGCTAACTGGGTGCTCTTAACAAACACCATTTATTTACAAGTCACATCTAGCAACCTTTATCTGGATTTTTAATAGAACAGAGAAGCAGGTAATAAAGATAATTGAGCTGGTAGCCACAGTTGCTGTCATAAAGTCCTAAACTCCAGGACTGCATCTTGTTCCCAGTTACTGCCCCAGAGGCTAGCCTGGCGCATTTCTTAAATACAAGCACAATCGGAATTGCCTTGCAGCCTGTTCATTCTTATTTTTGACACAAATTCTAATAAGTTTAATTATCTGATTTATACATCCCTGGTAAATTGCAAGCTAGGAGGAGATCTAGGGCATTAAGAGTCAAGGAAATAGAAAAATAGTAAGAAGTGCTGATTCAACATCTCATCCTTCCCTTTTTGCAAACGTATCCCTATTTGAACCACTTGTTCCTTCCTTTCTCCAGTCTCAGTAAGTTTTCTTTTCCTGGTCAATGCTTCTGGAATCCCATTTCTTCTACCTCTTAGGAAACCTTGTATTCTTCAGCATCTCCAACCTGTCAAATACTAATGGCCCTTTCCCTCATCCTATAAACACCTTGAAGATATCACTTCTTGACCCCATACCCCCTTATAATTACCTCCCTATTGTCCTCTCTGTTCTAAACTTCTTGAAAAGAGTATTGTGTGTTCCCCATCCCAAGTTCTTGATCTCCTACCAGCCATTCCTTGTTCACTCCTAAACCTGCAGCAATTTGACTCATAGCCCTCACCTTCCATATTGCTAGATCCAATTGCAATTTTTCAGACTTCTCTAATATTTTACACTATTCTCCCACACTACCCAAAACTGTTTCCTTCATTGACTTCTGTGGCACTATTTTCTATCTGCCTTTTCTACTTTTTTTCCGTGCTCCTTGATCCCTCAAATAGTGGTGTTCCCAAGGACTTTGCCTCTGGCCCTCTTTTTACTACCTTCTGTCACTGAGAAATATCTTTGTCTGTTGTTTAACTACCACTTAGGTTCATCAACCACTTGACTCAGACACAGGTATTTTAAACTCAGCAGATCTAACACTGAACATCCCCATCTTGCACATATCCCTCTCCTTCCTCCCCCATACACAAAATTTAAAAAATTAATCCCCACACAAAAATAACTACAAACAAAACTTAAATGCATATATTCTTTCTCCTGTATTCCCTATTGTCATTAACTAGCACCGGTATCTACATAGCCACAGTCACTCAAGCTATGTGTGGAATTGGAAACCATTCAAATTATCTCCTCCTATCACACCTCTGACATCCATTTGGTCAATTCTGCCTTCTAATCAGATCTCTAGCTTGTCCCTTATGCATTTCCACTTTGTTAACCCAGTTCAGGACCATATTATTGGATATCTGAACTCTAGCAATAGAGGTGCCTCCTAACTTAATAGTACCAGTCTTCCATCTGCCATAACTTCCTGCTTAAACTCCTGCTGCACTTTTTTTTTTTTTTTGGCTGTCAGTATAAGACCAAAACTACTAGAGCATACAGTGCCTTTGTGAGCTGGTCCTAGTACCCTTTTCCTACTGCTTTTCCAGCCAAGAGTACCTCTTGATCTGATGTTCTAGTTATGCCAACCTTTTTGCGTTTCCCCTGAAGTGCTACGTTTTCATACCTTCCTTATTTTTGTCTGTGCTGTTCCCTATACCTGGAGTGTCTTTTTCCCATTATCTGCATAGTTAATTCCTAGTCTTCTTTTTAAACTTTATCTTTATTGTTGAAAGTATTACAGATGTCCCTTTTTTCCCCCAGTTGACCCCCTCCACCCATCCCCTGCCCCAGACCTTTACTCCCCTATTGTCTGTGTCCATAGATTATGCATACAAGTTCTTTGGGTAATCTCTCCCCACCCACCCACCTCTGCCTTCCATCTGAGATTCATTGGTCTGTTCCATGCTTCTATGTCTCTGGATCTATTTTGTTCATCAGCTTATTTAAAAAAAGCTCCAGTGTCACTTCTTTTTAAAGTATGTTTTGTGTAACAAGGCTGAGTTGAGTATGCTTCTGAACACTTCCATGACACTTTGTGTATTGCCTGCCTCTATTACAGCCCATTTTAAAATATGATCACTGATTTTCCTGTCTGACTCTTACACTGGACTGATCATCTTGAGACAGACAGTTATACCACCAGGGCTAGTTTGCATCTTTTCCCACTATTAAATGACTCCAGATTGTTATGCAGTGAGTTCTTAGGTCTGGATAGTATCGTTGTTCACTTGGTTCATTTCATTAATGCTTTACAACCTGCAGTGTTCCACTGTGCTTCAACATCATAACAGTTTGCCTCTGAAGGCTCACAGCATGATCATCAAGGAAAGGCTAATTATATTTATCCATTATCTTCTGTTTAAGAAACCTGGGAAGCATGTGATCATTTTATATAACTTTCATCCAAAATGACTGCATTTTGGGGTGCTTAAAAATGTGTGATTTTGTTACTTGGAAAATCACTTTTGTGGGACATCTCATTTGCTGGTAATGAATGCCAATGACTTATTACTTTGGTGTAAAAAACAAATATGTGTTGAGAAGTGCTGTCAT